GAGGGCGCTTTGACCCTAGCCGGCTTGGCTCAGTGGATAGAGCGTCAGCCTGCGAACTGAAGGGTCCCAGGTTAGATTCCGGCCAAGGGCACATGCCGGGATTTCGGGCTCAATTTCCAGTTGGGGGTGTGTGGGAGGTGGCCGATCTGTGATTCTCTCTTCATTAATGTTTCTATCTCTCTCCTTCTCCCTTCCTCTCTGAAATCAATAAAGAAATATATATTTAAAAAAATTTTTTTTAAAAAGAAGAGAGGGCACTTTGCTTTCTTCATCTCTTTCTTGCTTCTTGCAGGTGGAATACTGGGATCCCAGATGGACATTTGGGATCAAAAGATGAAGCAGAAGATTGAAAAAGTGTGGATCCCTGATGACCTTAGGAACTATTCTACCAATGGAACTGCCAACTCCGCCTTTTTTTTTTTTTTTTTTTTTTTTTTTTTTTTTTTTTTTTTAAAGAGGATGTTTATTACAACTGTTTCCTGAAAAAACCACTTGAATCTGCCTGCCAGTCTTTCACTCCCCCAGGCAGTCCAATATTTATAAAGTTTATGCATTGTCCCTCAAGCAAGCACAAAAAACAGTCTCTCTAAACCCTGAAACGGATGCTTTCCAACTCTTACCCCAAGGCTGGGTGGGAAACAGTTGCCTGAGAGGGCCTGTTACAAGGTTCCTCGGGCCACCACTTTTGATATGGCCTGAATGATTTGAGTCCAGGGACCTTGCCTTCAAATCCTCTTACCAAAGACAATGCGGATACCAAGGCCACTAATACTTGTAATACTAAAGATGGAAGCGATATGGTTTTCAATCAGAGGAAGGATGAGTGAAATGTTCAGGTTATTTTGGGGTGCTTTTGGGGGTGAGTCAAAGGATGAGTGAAAGGATCAGGTTATTTTGAGGTGCTTTTGAGGGTGGGGATAGAAGAAAGGGAACACAGGTCTGAGCCAGATTCAGTGTCTGAATTTACTGCGGCCCTTATCTTACTGACGCTACAGGATGGGATATAATAATGCCTGCCTCATAGATGCTTGTGAGTAGGCATTCTGGAGTAGAGTGGGTAAAAGTGAAGGGAGTCATGCTTGTTGACTTTCACCTCTTTAGTAATGTAGGAAGTGAGACCATCTGGGAAGAGTGAAGAGGCAAGAATAGGACCAGCTAGAAAGTAAAAAGGTTAGGGGCACAGATTTTGAATCTTGGTAGATTTGAACCTAGCTGTGAACATTTTTGAGATGATCTGATCCCCAGTTTCCTTACCTCTACAATGTGGATAACTTTTTTTTTGTTTGTTTGTTTTTGTTTTTAAATAGATTTTATTGATTTTGTACAGATAGGAAGGGAGAGAGATACAGAGTTAGAAACATCGATGAGAGAGAGTCATCGATCAGCTGCCTCTTGCACACCCCCTACTGGGAATATGCCCGCAACCAAGGTACATGCCCTTGACCGGAATCGACCCCGGGACCTTTCAGTCCCCAAGCCGACGCTCTATCCATTGAGCCAAACCAGTTTCGGCAACAATGTGGATAATTGTTAAATGCAACTATGAAGATAAAGCACTTAGCACAGTGCCAGGTACATACTAATCATGGTTGTATTATTGTTTTTGACGAATACAAAAATTTTGAGAAAATGCCACTATTGGGAACACCCTGGGAGTCTACCCAAGATTTATTAAGGGGATGAAAAGATCACTGAGAAGCCTTGGGAGCCCAGGGGAGAGGTGATCCACATTTATAACATCTCCCAGTGAGGATGGTTTCCTGACTGTCATATATATGCCAAACCACAGAAGGGAAGAGAAAGGCAGGACTTCTCAAGGAGAAGCAAAGGAAAAGGCTGAGACCCTGAAGTGTGGGCTTGCATTCATTGTGTCCCCTTGGTAGTTATGGTGAGAGGGAACCCCAGGGGAAAGATGACACCAGCTAGGACAGAGAGCACTATAAACAGGCTGTTTATTGGAGGTGGCCTTCCCCTCCTGGGAGGGAAGGTGGGCGTCTTTCCCCTCCTAGTATACCCTTCTGTGCTTTAGGTGGTAACTCCTGTTTCACTGAATGCATCCATGTGAATAGGTGGACTATACACATGTGCAGTTCATGATAAAGGAGCTGCCGAAAACCACTGACTGGAAGAAGGCAATAGAGATTATGAGAAAAAGAAAGTTATTATTATTTTTTTTTAATCAGAAACTTATTCTGGTTAGAAATATTGATGGGGTAGGAAGACTTTAACTGGCTAAAGGGAAACTCTTCAGAGCTGAGCAAGAGAAACGTACCAAAGAAGTGGTGGATGGAATCCAAAGGGTGTTCGACACATAAAATGTTTATGACAATGCAGAGGGCACTTAGACCTAAAACTTCATAGTTCTTCTCAGAGTTAATAAAGACAAAGATGATGTACAATTGGGGGTGTAGGAGGTTCCCTAGTCTGTTATACTCTGCCTTTATCTCCTAAGCTCTACTTGCTCTGGCCCCTCCTCCTTCCATATCTCCAACCCTTCTTTTCCCCCTCAGCACTGGCTTCCTCTTTCAAACAGGCGGGGCATGCTTACTGACTTCCTCTCCCCCATCATGCTGAGCACTGTGTCAATGTGGAACTCTGCTCCAAGGTCACCTCGCCAGAGAGCTTTCCTGACCACCATGCTTAGAGCAGCAGTTCCTTCCACCACTCTCCATTGCCTCCCCTTTCTTTCGTTTTCTTCACAGCAGCTATCTCTACGCCATGCCCAGCTCCATCAGGATGTAATTACTATGGTGCAGAGTCCTTGTCTGTTCTGGTCACCGCTATTTCCCTACCCCTTAGTAGGTGACTCGCACATTTTTGTTGAGAGAATGGATAATTTTAGGCTGCACCCAATCACCCCCTTTCCAGCAATATAAAGCAGGGTAGAAAAACTCAGAGTGAGAGAAAGAGTGAGGGCAAGAGAGAACTCTTCACTAGTCCTGTGTCTTGGTGTGGAAGCCTCAGGGTATAAACTGATCCACAAGAAGGAGCAGCTGATATCCTTGTGACATTTGCAATTTTTTTCGGCATTGGGCCACACGCTGAGGCTTCCCAGAGTGGCTGGTAAAAGTGCCCTGAATCAGGGATCAAGGCCCAGTCTCTTCCTAAACAATCCTGTCTTGCTGGAAATAAATCACTGCTCTTCACTGACAAATCCTGAAACGTGATAACAATTAATAGGAGGGAAAATATTTTATTCCACTTCAGTGGCAAAGTGGATGAAGGCAGCATTGCTCAATCTAAAGACATTGGAAGTCAAATCCTACTTTCTCCACTTTTTGGCTAAATGAACTTCAGCATCCTGTGCCAATGCTTTCACCTGTAAACTTGAGATATTAATAGTACTCATCTCATCGGGTATTGTGAGGATTAATAAAATGATAAATGTAGGCTACTTTGCATAATGCCAGACACATGGTGGCTGCTCCATAAACAGTCAGTAATTACTATTATTGATGAGGGAGAGGAGAAAGGAGCAAGGGGAGGTCTCTGAAACAACAAAGGTGGAGAGACAAGGAAGAATTATAGTTCCATGGAAAAAACGTGGGGAGAAATGGACATGGAGCAAAAGCGTTGGACTCTCCTGTCTTCCACCACAGAGGGTGGCTGGCTGGCTGGTAGGGTACTTGGAGGGATGGTCAGAGTCACAGGGCTCCCAAGTCATGATGAGAAAGCTGGGATCAGAACATAAGCCTGTGCGTCTTGGCTCGCAGGGAAAAACTTTCCAACATGGAAGAAAAGTCATGAGTTCACACACTCAGACTTATTTCAGCAATTTCAAGAGAAAAATGGGGATTTCTAACTTCCTTTTCCACTGCTTCTCAGCTGCTTCCCTAAATCTGAGTTCCAGGAAAAAGCAGGAAATCAGTTGATTCACACAGTCCAGTGGTAAACCTGAGGGACCACCTTTGCCGGGAACAGCAGCAGGAGGAATTTAGGGTGCAGTCTTCATGAAGCTCAAATTGAAGGAGCCCCAATGTTAAACAGTCAAAGGAACCAGAGAGACCCTGGTGCATTTACATTCTACCTTTTCAGAAAATCCTAACCCACTCATTCATGTCAGGAATTTGATAGTGCATGTGTAGAGCTGGTAAGAAATATTATCAATAGACTTAAAATGGCAAACAGAGTCAATTTTTATACAACCAAGGCAATTATTTGGACTTAATTAAATAACGTATGCAATGACAAGATACACCCAGAGTTAGGTTAATGTCACATAGTTTTCTTTGTACCGACAACAAACAGTATGCATATGCCCTTTATAATTTACTAATGAACATAAATAAGAAAAACAGAGTTTTTAGAGCCAGTTCTACCGCTTCTTGGCCTTTTGGCTAAGATCAAGTGTAGAGCCAGTTCTTCATTTTTTTTTTGAAAGTAATGTTCTCACTTCCAGTTCTTCATTCTTTTCTGAAAGTAATGTAAAATAGGAATAATAGCCACTTCTCATTTATTTTAGGGAGTTTTTGGAAGTTAAAAGCTGAGTAATAGCTATGCATGTACTTTGAAAATGAAGCAAGTGCCCAGAGATCAAGTTTTTACAGTGACATATGGTCATGAACTCCAATCTGAAATAAAATGGAGAAAAGTATATCTCTGTCAAAAACCATATGACACATTATAATACCCAAAAGGAAAATCGCTTTTAAGTTATTCAAGATTTTGGATTATTTCTCCTCTTTCTGGCCAGGTCTACCAAGTGCTGAGCCTCCTGAGCAGAAGAATTTGTCTCAGATCTTTGGAGACCCACCACCAACAAAAATTCAAACTCTAACGCTGCAAAACAGGTTTGACCTTTACTGGTTGTTTTTCTTGTAGACCAAGATCAAGGGTATCTGTGTTGAAACCTATCAGAAGGGTATTTCCATGTCTTCCTTCAGGGCAATCTCTAAAAAAAAAAAAACCAAAAAAAAAAAAAAAATCCAACCAAAAAAAAAAAAACCACAACAAAAAACGTAATAGAAAACTAGAAGGGATCGACAAGGGTCAGAACTTACAGGTTTGTAGGCAAAGAAGCAAGATCCATAAATAGTGCTGGGCCATCTTCCGGAGGATCCTTGATTGTGAAAAGAAAGGCATTCTTCTAGCCGACAATTGGGCAGACAGGCAGGCAGCGTTGCATTCGAATTTTCTTGCTATTTATAGCTGCGCTTAAGAAAGGAAGTGTGACGACAGAAGCAATGGCCTTTGGCTGTTTTTTCTCTCCTATATTATCACATAAAGTGCCTGGCATTAATTCATTATTTATTTAACAAATATTTATTGAATACCTACTATGTGTCAGGCACGATTCTGGATGCTGGCAGTATAAAGACCAACAAAGCAATCAATCTCTCCCCTTGTTGGGGAGATCAACAATTAAACAGTGTCTTAACAGAGAAATTTACGGAGGACAGGGAGGACCCAGGCTAGGAGAATGTGGGGAAGGCTTTCTGTAGGAACTGACAACCATGCTGAGATGGATCTGAAAAGTAAGTTAGCATTATTAGGCAAAAGGTGGTGGGGGATAGAGAATAGAAAGGATGTGTTCACATGATAGGAGCTTAATAAATGGTAGCAATTAATACTATATAACTACAGTTATAAGTTAATATATAACACAATAATATGTAACTAATAAAACACATTTTATACAAATTTATTTAAATATATATTTTATTAATTTCATAGAAGAAGGAAGAGAGAGAGATAGAAACATTGATGAGAGAGAATCATTGATTAGCTTCCTCCTGCACGCTCCCCACTGGGGACTGAGCCCACAAACTGGGCACGTGCCCTTGACCGGAATCGAACCTGGGACCCTTTAGTCCACAGGTTGAAGCTCTATCCACTGAGCCAAACTGGCTAGGGCTATTTTATACAAATTTAATAATTTTCCAAATTATTCTATATAATAAAAGCCTCGGTGGTGTCATGCACAATGTCATCACAAGATGGCTGCTACAAGATGGCCAGCAGGGGAGGGCAGTTGGAGATGACCAGGCTTGCAGGGGAGGGCAGTTGAGGGGAATCAGGCCAGCAGGGAAGCAGTTAGATGTCAATCAGGTTGTCAGGGGAGTGGTTAGGGGACAATCAGGCTGGCAGACAGAAGCGATTAGGGGCAATCAGGCAAACAGGTAGGTGAGCGGTTAGGAGCCAGCAGTCCCATATTGTGAGAAGGATGTCCCAGTTTGGAGAGGGTGCAGGCCAGGCTGAGGAACACCCCTCTCTGTGCACAAATTTTGTGCACTAGGCCTCTGGTTTTATATAATAACTAGAGGCCTGATGCATAAAATGTGTGCAAGAGTAGGCCTTCTTTCCCCCAGCTGCTGGCATCAGCTTCCCTCTGCATCCAGGACCTGGGCTTTCCTCACAGGTCTGGCTTTGTCCAGAAGGTTGTCTGGAAGGACATCCAGTCTAATTAGCATATTATACTTTTATTATTACAGATGATATTCTATATGTTATTATATATTTTATGTGATATATAATTATGTTATATAAATTACATATATCATATACGCTGAGTGGCCAGATTATTATGATCTCTGAATGTGTAATAATCTGGCCACTAATATATATTTTTAGAGGCCAGGTGCATGAATTTGTGCATGGGCCCAGGGGAGTGGACATGGCCAGTTGGCTGGCCTGCGTGCTGGTGGAACTCCTGGCTGAGGGGACAATTTTTATATTAGCCTTTTATTATATAGGATTATTTAGGACTAGAAGCCCGGAGCATGAAATTTGTGCACTGTGGGAGTTCCCTTAGCCCAACCTGCACCCTCTATAATCTGGGAGCCCTCGGGGGTTATCCACAGGGATCGGGCCTAAACAGGCAATTAGACATCCCTTTTACAATCCAGGACTGCTGGCTGCCTGCCTGCCTGATTGCCCCTAACCACTCTGCCTGCCAGCCTGATCACCCCCTAACCTCTCCCCTATCAGCCTGATCGACTCCTTACTGCTTTTCCAACTGCCCTCCCCTGACAACCTGGTCACCCCCAAATGCCTTCCCCTGCATATTCCCTCTTTATTAGATAGGGTTTTATCTTTAACACATTGGACAGCCCTAACTGGTTTGGCTAGGTGGATGGAGCATCGGCCTGCAGACTCAAGGGTCCCAGGTTCAATTCCAGTCAAGGGCATGTACCTTGGTTGGGGGCACATACCCAATGGGGAGTGTGCAGGAGGCAGTTGATTGATGTTTCTTTCTTATAGATGTTTCTAGCTCTCTATCCCTTTCCCTTCCTCTTTGTAAAAAAAAAATCAATAAAATATATTTTAAAAAAAGAAACATTTAAGATTCCTCCATATCTGCCTGGGTGGTGTGGCTCAGTGGTTGAGACCCCAGGCTGCCACAGCTGGCAGGTGATCCTGCCATGGGGGAGCGGCGCCCCTGCCAGGCTGAAAACCTAGCCCAGGTTGCTGCCACTGGCAGGGGATCAGCCGTGGGGAGTGAATTTGTTTTTGTTTTTGATGAAGGGTCAGGAAGGCCTCTTTTATTGCCTACTTCCCCTTGTAATTTTTGTCCTACCCAATAAGGAAAAAAGAAGAAAGAATATAAAGTTGCCAAGAGCTGCTGAAAACTTACTTTGTATTTCTTTCTTCCTTCCTCCTTCTCTGTAGGAATCGGCTTTCTTCCCCTGTTATTTGAAACCCTTGTGTGGTGTCCAGTCTTTGCCTTAAGAATCTTAGATGGTATCTGTTAGGCATATTATACCTTGCAGGGGACTCTTGCCCCTCCCGGCGATTTTCTGTTATTCTCCTCGTAGGCTTCATGACTAACGGCTTTGGCTTCCAGTAAACAGCCTCACCCAGTCTCCAGTTGACCGCTTACACCTTGACCCACTGCACTTGGTCTGACCCATTACTCTGACTGACCCTGACAAGTGACATAAATATCCTGCACCCCCTACTTTGCCCTGCTGCTGCCATTTTGGTCTCAGCCCTTCTGTTTGCAGATTGAGAGTCTATAACAATAAAAGTGTAATATGCTAATTAGACTGGACAGCCAAATGACCTTCCAGATGCCCTTCCAACTTTCCGGATGAAGCTGAGGCTATGAGGGCCTTGCACGGATTTCATGCATGGGGCCTCTAGTACATTTATAACTCCTTACCCCTTTTGGTCTCATGCCTTCCTCCTTCGGCGACCCTAACAGTATCTTAGTCCTGTTGAGCCTAGACCAATCTCTCTCTCTCTCTCTCTCTCTCTCTCTCTCTCTCTCTCTCTCTCTCTCTCTTAAGAGAAATACAATCCAAAATTTTATACTTAGTTGCTTTTAACTTCCAAAAATTTAAGGGCCTGCATCAGTTCTACAGTACAAAAGGAAAGCACCCAAGTAAAGATATCATAAAAGTTAATTATAGCTGAAACCAGTTTGGCTCAGTGGATAGAGCGCCTGCAGACTAGGGGATTCCAGATTCGATTCCGGTCAAGGGGATGTACATTGGCTGCAGGCACATCCCTGGTGGGGGGTGTGCAGGAGGCAGCTGACCGATGTTTCTCCCTCATCGCTGTTTCTAACTCTCTCTCTCTTTTCCTCTCTGTAAAATAATTAATAAAATATATATTTAAAAAAAAAGTTAATTATGCCTGGAATAAAAAAGCAAGCTCTTTTTCTTTACATGTTGAGTTTTGTTTTCAGTATTAAAATGAAGGTCAAGATTATATACAAAAATAGTATCAAGTGAATAATTATGTGTTGGAGGGCAGACACTTCAAAATGATGACCTGAAAAACAGTAAGTCCAATACACTGCACACATCAAGTTGTAGATTAGACAGAAAAATGGCTAATGTCCACAGGCTAAACTGTCAGGTCGGACAGTGGTTAAATCTGGCTTCACTGAAGTAATTTGGTCAGCTATCATAAACAAACTCTTATTAGTCAAAGATTATTTGTTTGATGTTCAACTTTTGATATATCCTATCCTGGATAAGACCTTTAGTTTTTCATCATATTCCTTGAAAAATGTCCTACCTCTATCTTTCAGCCTTATACTGCATATAGAAAAGATACTAGGTTTGGAGACTTATTTTGATCTGATATGGAAGGGTATGAAATTTCTTCTATTCCATGGTAACGATAAGAAAACTAAAATTAAAATCATACTTCTCTGTGGAATATGCAGTGAGTGGTAGATGCAAAAAACCCTTGATGAACTGAATTCCAGAGAATTTTTTTTTGTAGACGAGCAGAAAGCCAAATAGCTCAAAAGGTGGGGCAGGGAGCAGGGGAAAGCGGTGGCGAATAGGCAGACTTTTCTTGTGCCTCCTCCCAGGGCCAGACGGAAAATAAAACTAAAGTGGGGAGCATGCACCCATAATCACCAACTGAGGTCCAGTTAAGGAGGAGACTTCTATCAAGACAGGACAGAAAACACCTGGAGACTGACAGAAAGGGAGCGGTTGGGAGAGGAAATGACTCAGCGCCCAGGGGCAGCCAGGGGACAGGCGGAGAGTGGGGAGGGAGCTCCGGGCTATGGGGGGCTGTTCCCTCTGAAGACAGAGGCCCGGACCCAGATGGGCTCCGTAGCCTGGAGCACCAGAGCCAAGACCAGAGGCCCAGGTAACATCCCACCTTGAAAGGTGACAGGGCTGCTGGCCACCGTGATGCCCGGAGCCGCTCAGAGAGAAGGCGACAGTTTAGTGTTTTTTCTTTTTTTTCTTTTTTCTTTTTCTTTTTCCTAAACCCAGAGCACAGAAGTTTTCATTTGCAGCTGCTCACCTGAGGCTTTGGTGCAGGGAGAGAGCCCGGACTTCAGGTGCCTCAGCAGAGGCTGGGGTCGGAGGCATCAAAGCAGCAGCCCGGAGTCCTGTCCTCAGTCGCATACACTGGGACCAAAATGGCCTTTGTCTTACTTAAAGAGGAACTAGCCCCTCCCCGTAGCCACAGGGCAGGTCAGGTGATACAGAGCACTCTACCCTAAGGTGACCAGACATCCAGCTTTTGGGACTTTTTAAAAACGCCTCGGGACGCGGGACAAATTGTTAAGAATCGGGACTGTCCCACCAAAAGCGGGATGTCTGATCAACTTACTTGACCTTCAGGAGCCATGCCTACCACAGCCTAAATCTGTGGTCGGCAAACTCAGTCACCAGAGCCAAATATCAACAGCACAACGATTGAAATTTCTTTTGAGAGCCAAAATTTTTAAACTTAAACTTCTTCTAACACCACTTCTTCAAAATAGACTCGCCCAGGCCGTGGTATTTTGTGGAAGAACCACACTCAAGGGGCCAAAGAGCCGCTGTGACTCATGAGCCGAGGTTTGCTGACCACTGGCTTAAATGTTGTCATTTTTAGAGGAAACAGAAGCAGAAGCCAAGCCTATGGGTTTGAGGGTTTCAACAGTCAGTGACATGTTTGGGAAAGGAGCTCTCCACCCTACTATCCTGGGCACCAGTCTAGTCTGGTACTGTACTTTCCCTGCCTGAGAGGGCTGATAGAAACTGAGGGTTTCCAGCTGATCCCACTGGATTGAATACAAGGATCTCTGCCCAGCCAAGGGCAGAAAAAGACTTTGGGCCAATGGCAGAGGAGTAGCTCTGGGCCAGGGAAATACACCAGTCACATTTGCTGAAATCTGAACAGCCCTTCCCTGCCTAAAGGACTTTTGAGTGATTAAGATTGACAGATGGATTTAACTGACATTTATAGGCCATTTCACCCCAAAGCTGCATAATATACATTCTTCTTGAGTGCACATGGGTCATTCTCAAAGACAGACCACATGTTAGGACACAAATAAAGTCTCTCAAGTTCAAGGAGATTAGAATCACATCAAGTATCTTCTCAGACCACAATGGAATGAAATTAGAAGTCAACTACCGTAAAAACACTCAAAAAACCTTCAAACACATGGAGGCTAAGTAGCATGTTTAATAAATAGGTTATCAACAAGATCAAGAAAGAAAAGAAGAACTTCCTGGAAACAAATGAAAACAACAACCCCAAATCTCTAGGACACTGCAAAAGCAGTCCAGAGAGGGAAGTTCATAGCATTACAGGCCTACCTCAGAAAACAAGAAAAACTTCTAAGAAACTACTAACTCTACAACTTAAAGAATTAGAAAGAGCCGAAACTGGTTTGGCTCAGGGGATAGAGCGTCGGCTTGTGGACTGAAAGGTCCTGGGTTAAGGGCATGTACCTTAGTTATGGGCACATCCCCAGTGGGGGTGTGCAGGAGGCAGCTGATTGATGTTTCTCTCTCATTGATGTTTCTAACTCTCTGTCCCTCTCTCTTCCTCTCTGTAATAAATCACCAATGGATTTCATGTAACCCACATACGTCCCTCCTTTGATTGCAATGTATAAATACAAATGTAACCCAACATTCTGCAGAGCATCATCTCAATTCGTTGAGGTTCTGCTTCCCGGCATATGTCGACAGTTTGGCTCAAATAAACTCACAAAAATTCTTTACAGGTTTCAATGTTTGTTTTTATGTTAACACCCCTGTAATCAAAACAGCTTGGTACTAGCAAAAGAACAGGTATATAGATCAATGGAACAGAACAGATATCCAAGAAATTGACCCAAGCCATTACACTCAATTGATATTTGACAAAGGAGGCAAGAGCATACAATGGAGTCAAGACAGCCTGTTCAATAAATGGTGTTGGGAAAACTGGACAGATACATGTAAAAAAAATAAAACTAGATCACCAATTTATATCATACACAAGAATAAACTCAAAATAGATAAAAGACTTAAATGTAAATTGTGAAACCATAAGAATCTTAGAAGAAACCATAGGCTGCAAAATCTCAGACATCTCTCATAGCAATATGTTTACAGATACATCTACTAGGTCAATGGAAACTAAGGAGAAAATAAATAAATGGGACTACATAAAAATAAAAAGCTTCTGTACAGCAAAAGAAACCATCAGCAAAATGAAAAGAGAGCCCACTGCAAGAGATAGCATATTTGCCAATGATATATCTGATAAGTGGTTAATTTTCCATATATATATGGAACTCATACAGCTTAATGAAAATCCAATTTAAAAATGGGGGAAGGAACTAAATAGTCACTTCTCCAAAGTGCATTCACAAAAGGTAAAAAGACATAAAAAAAATGCTCAAAATCACTGATCATCTAAGAGATGCAAATTAAAATGACAGTGAAGTATCTCCTCAGACCTGTCAGAATGGTGATCATCTACAAATCAACAATGTATAGTCCATGGACACAAACAGTTGTGTGGTGAAGGCCTGGGAGAGGGACAGGTGTGCAATGAAGGGGGTCAATCAAAAAACAACATGAAACAAAGGGGCATCTGTAATACTTTTAACGATAATAAAAAAAAAGACCTGGGGCTGGGTACAGACCAATAGAAGAGAGAGCCTGCTGTAAACAGAGACCTTGAGAAGGACAAAGCTGATGAAATGTACAGGATAGTTTGGGCTGATAAGACAGGCTGGAATCTAGAAGAGCTTTTGAGGAAGCAAAAACAAATTGCCAATAATGTCCATTCTTTCCAGAATTTTGCTGAGAAAGTGGCACTAGGAGGGGACTGGACAGAAAACTTCCTTTACCTGGTGAAGGATATAGACATACAATTTCAGGAAGGGCAGAGAGTCCCAAACAAGATGAACCCAAAGAGATCCATACTAAGAAACATCATAATTCAAATGCAAAAGGGTAAAGACAAAGAGATATTCTTAAAAGCAGCAAGAGAAAAGCAGTTAGTTGCCTGTAAGGTATAATCCATAACTGTTGGTTGATTTCTCAACAGAAGGGATTGGCAAGAAATATTCAAAGAAACAAGGACCAAGATTAGTCTACCCACCAAAGCTATAATCCTATATAATAAAACCTAATATGCTAAATGTCCAGTTGGCCATTCAACCAATCAAAGTGTAATATGCTAATGATATGCTAAAACCACTCAACCACTTGCTATGATATACACTGACCACCAGGGGGCAGATGCTTCAACCAGTAGGTTAGTTTGCTGCTGGAGTATGGCCCATAGGGACTGAGCAAAATGAGCTGGATATGCCCTGGGGCCCTCCCATGGTCCCTCCCGACCTCCTGCATCCCTCCCTGACCTCGATTGATTGTGCATCAGCGGGGTCCCTCGGCCTGGTCTGCACCCTCTCGCAATCCAGGATCCCTTGGGGGATGTCATAGAGTCTGTTTCAACTCAATCCCGCAGGCCAGGCCAAGGGACTCCACTAGTGCACTGGGCCTTCAGTTTAGGATAGTAGGACAGATAAAAGCTTCCCAGACAAGAAACAGCTAAAGAAGTTCATCACCACCAAACCAGTAGTTTATGAAATGTGAAAGGGCCTTCTTTAAAAAGAAAAAACCCTAAAAAGATTAAAAATATGAACAACAAATACAAATCTATCAACAATTGAATCTAAAAAACAAAATAAACTAATAAGCACAACAGAAACAGACTTGTAGATACATATGGAGGACGTTTTGCTGGTTGCCAGATGGGAGGGGTTGGGGGGCTGTGTGAAAAAGGTGAAGGGATTAAGAAATATGGGATGTAAAGTACAGCATGGGGAATGTAGTTAATAATATTCTAATAACTATGTATGGTGTCATATGGGTGTGAGGTTTATTAGGATGATCACTTAGTAAGTTATATAATGTCAAATTACTGGGGTGTACACCTGAAACTGATATAATAATGTACGTCTACTGTAATTTAAAAATATTTAAATGGCAAAAAATAAAGATTTGCAAGATGTAATGTAAAGTGAAAAAAAATGAATTGAATATACTAAAACTATTAGATAATGATATAGAAGGATATCTTTATAACTTTGAGAGTAAAAAAATTTTTTGGCCGAAACTGGTTTGGCTCAGTGGATAGAGTGTTGGCCTGTGGACTGAGGGGTCCCAGGTTTGATTCTGGTCAAGGGCATGTACATTGGTTGTGGGCATATCCTGGTGGGAAGTGTGCAGGAGGCAGCTAGTTGATGTTTCTCTCTCATTGATGTTTCTGGCTTTCTGTCCCTCTTCCTTCCTCTCTGTAAAAAGTCAATAAACTATATTAAAAAAAGAAAAGAAAACTTTTTAAACCAAGATATAAAATCCCTACAAATAATAAAGGGAAGAAATAATGACTACATCAAATTAAGTTTTCTGCTTAGTAAAAGACACTGTGCCCACTGTTAAAAGAGAGGTATATGTTCCCCGGCCAGCGTGGCTCAGTAGTTGAGCATCAACCTAGGAACCAGGAGTTTGATTCCTGGTCAGGACATATGCCCGGGTTGTGGTCATGATCTCCAGAAGGAGGCATGCAGGAAGCAGCCAATCAATGATTGATGTTTCTCTCATCACTGGTGTTTCTAGCTCTCTCTCTCTCTCTCTCTCTCTCTCTCTCTCTCTCTCTCTCTCTCTCTCTCTCTCTCTCTCTTTCTCTCTCTCTTTCTTCCTCTCTGAAATCAATAAAAATATATTTTAAAAAAGAGGTATACATAACCAACTAAGACTTAATATCCCAAATACACAGGAAAAACTGAGTATTATCAAGAACAAACAGATTATCTAGTGGGAAAATGGGTCAATAATGTGCATAAGCAATTCATAAATGTGGAAACTGGAACTGCAAATAAACATCTGGAGAGATGCACTATCCCTCCAGGAATAAGAGAAATAAAAATTAAAACAACTGTGCTATGTCACATACTTAAATGGTCAAAAATATCAGGCAAAATCAAGTGCTGAGAGGAAGGGGGTAAAAAAAAGAAACTCTAGTGTATTGTCCGTGGGAGTATAAATTTTTCAGAATAGTTACATACTTTTAGAGTTGAGTATTTGCATAATTTATGACTCTAGCAAATTCCAACCTGAAAACTACTCAGACAATCCCTTATATGGGTAG